TTCAGATATTGTTCACCATTGGGTTTTAATGAATTTGATGTATCACTGTTCTTTGCTACTGCACCAGCAATTGCTTCGGGTGCTGGAACAGTCTATAAAGAAATTATTTATATCATAGAAAAAAAAAATTTTTTCAATTACTATAATTTGATTTTGTTGGAAAAAATTGTTGTGGAAATGATGCACCATCAACACGAAAATCTTCAAGATTTTTATAGTTTTTTAAAATTTCTTCAAGTTTTGGATTGATTTTTGGTTTTTGTCGAGAATATTTTAAAAATGCCCAGAATTTTTCTAAACCATATAATTGATCTAAATAGAAAAATTATTTTTGTTATTGACACTTTTCTTTTTTTTTTTGTATAATCTATTTTATTACCAGCTTCATGATTACAAAGAGTTTCATGTTGAAAATCTTCAAATACATGTTGACGAAAATGTTTTTCTAGATCATATGTATAAAATCGAAATAGACATTCAACACCATATCTATACATAAATAATAATATTCAATTTTTTTCTTATTATTTTTCATAAGAAAAATGACTAAAAACGATAGAGTGTATCCATTTCCATTGATTGACCAGGACCAAGTTTAACGCTTTCTAGAAATTAGATCATTACAGAAAACAAAATGTATCTTATTTGTAAATCAACATAACTTTAGATTATAAATATTTTCTATGAAATAATAAAGTTTGGCGATTAATGAAACTTAGTGTTTTTAATCATTGACGATTATTTTATTGCTTTTCAAATTTATCATGTAGATAAGAATGATAGTATTTATTGAAAAAACTCCATAAAAGAGTAAAATCTTTGTTTTTTCTTTGAAAATTATAGCAACAGACATATTCTCTATTGGCTATTTAAATAAGAATATAAGTCTTTTTAGACTCTGATTTTTACCGGAGAGTAGTTTTCGCTGTTGTTTTTAGATATGTTGACTCTTCTTTAGTCACTAAAAGACTCGTTTTTTATACGTTCAATGTAACATAATTTCAATATTTTTTTTACTAGTAGCTTGTTTCTCTCGAAATATTGTAAATATGTACTGAACTAATAATCTGTTTTTTCTCTACAATCAGCGTTTCTTTTTTACCATCAAGACATTCTTGTTCATATTTAAGATAAACTTGTTGAGTAAAACTATTTTGTTGTAAAAGTGTATGAGATGGATGTTGAAATTGAAGAATTTCCACCAGTATTGAACCATAAATATCATATGAATTTGAATTATTTTCATGCCAATAATATGAATCATTGTATGATGATGAATATTGATCATAGAAATCTTGTTGTCGAGTTCTAAATAAGTAAAACTCATTTTATACTAATAATAATTGACATTCAATTGTTTGTATTAGGAACAAAAAATATAAGGAAATTCGTCAAAAAAAAA